CAATAATAATGTATTGAGTGTAAATTATAATTTTAATTATTACATGGATGCCACCTTTTTGGTACAATAAAGCCCTCCCTACATCTACCCTAACCCTACCCCATACTTTATTTTCAACTTTTTGATTATTTCCTTAATTTTCATTGAAAATAAATGCCTTTACGATGTGATACGAGATTTGAAAATGGAGAAAAAAAAAGTTCGGCAAAAGGCGGGATCGCACCCCGGTCGATCGCGTCAAAAAGACAATAACAAGCACTTATCCATCTGCGCCACTGGAGCTGACATGTAATGGCCACTTTTAACTAAATGTAAATATACACTCCGTATTTTTTATTCCATAGTAAGGGCAATTCATACAATACATTTAAACTGAGCTACTTTAATACCATCTCCGAACTTTCTACCACGACTCTGCTGTTCTTCAGCTGGTTCTTCCCTGTATACGCTGATTGACAGATGTCTCGTCCAGTCAGCGGTGAGTAATCCCAAACCAAAGGTGCTGTCTCAAACTATACCTACCTCTTCCGGTTTGTCTGATTTGTCGTTGTGCTTTCTGACTTGTTATAATGTTTTCAGAATTGTTGTTGTGCTTTCTGAATTGTTATTTTGTTTTTTAGACTTGCATTTGCGTTTGTAATTTGTTACTTTGTTTTCAGAATTGTGATTTGCTTTGCACTTCTCGGCCACCGTAGTATACCACTAGACGGAGGAAAATCAACAATATACATTTTTATTTGGCCATCATCGTTGTTTCATGAATGAGTTTGGAACTTTTGGTTTTAATTGTAAAATAAAAAAACACTATTTAAAAAAACCCATTACCATTCATATTGCACTGAACAAAGAAGCATATTTTATGGACATTCTTTAATGTACTTTTAAAGTTCCGTATAAATACCTTGCTATAGCCTGTGCGCAAAAACATTGTATCAAATGTCAAACTAAAAATATTTCTATTTATCTAATGTTTTATATATCTCTCTTGTAAATGAAGACTAAAATACTATGAATAAAAATAGTCCGCGACTAAAAATCTCCCATGCTATTACCATACATTTGGACATGTAGAATGGTTATGCCCCTTTTTTATATTTCAAATAGCTTACCTAATGATTCAGTACTATGGTACCGCCACAAGAGTTTATTTTTTGAAAAATAACCAAACTTGCTCTTGGGTTAGAGTTGTTATTAATAGAATAAATAATTAATATCATCTAAAATAGAGAGACTGCGGTATATGGTAAATTGCTTTTAAAGCTGTAAAGGTCTGAGTGATTTGAGACTGGGTAGAAGAGGTGATGTGGTGGGGTCCGCAGAGAGGCGTGGAGTGTGCTGCCCCTTTAAGACTCACAGCATCTCAATACAACAAAAGCGCATCGCCGCCGGTCAGAGACGAGATGTAAAGCGGTTACACAGGTTGTTTACATCTTCGTTGAATTTATAAGGTGATGAGATACTGACTAAATAGATTATCTAGTTTAAAGTGCTCTATGTGATAATATTTCTGTCTATTAGACTCACTGGTTGTTGGTTTATCAGGTTTGTTTGCGGTAAATAAGACGTGAATTTATTAATGGTTCGAGAGCCGATGGATTAGCCTACGCGTTAATTCAGCGACCAGCATCATGACCACCGTCTGCAAAACGTGAAAGACGTGCACTGCTGGTTTATTTCACCCTGTCAGACATCACAGGTGAGCCAAAGACGTTATAGAGTTTGATTTGAACTGAATTTGAATCTTATTTGACTAATGTCAGTGTTTATATAAGAGATTCGCACAAAAATACCATGCTATTACATGGGCTTTTCTGGAGATTTGCTACCAGGATAGTATTAGATTTTTTAAAGAAGGCTAGATAATGGAAATTATTCAGTGCCATGTGTTTTACTGTCTGATACCAACACTGTACCATACCTCGCATAACCAGTGTTGGGGGTAACGCATTACAAGTAACGCGAGTTA